GTTTGACCATGTGCTTCATCGTGTTCTCGTGCAGCTATTGAGGATCTCCAGGATGCCATCGGACTACATTGAAGCCGCCAAGAATTATCGATGTGAATATTGCGAACATCATCAACCGCTAGCTCAGACTCACAAGGTTGCCTTACCAAAGACGTTCTGCTCCAACCATAAAATCGGCACCGACCGTCTAGAGTCTAGAGGTGAAAGACAACAGTGTAGAACGCTACACCTTCTTGAACCTAGCGCGCCAGGGTGCAACATTTCAGCGTGTGATCTTTGTCAAGCAGGGAGGTGGTACGCCATCTTCGAGAGCATGCCTCGCTGCGCTGGAGCAATGCTGGTGGGCGTGGACAGGTAAGCCCAAAAGAATGCTGTTGGACCTTGGACTGCACAACCGAGGAGCGTTTGTGCAATGGCCTAAGAGTAAAGGGATCGACCTCCGCGACGCCGAAGTCGAGTCTCCCGAGCAGGTAGGCCGCGCCGGGAGACATGGTGGACTTTGGAATGACATCTTCAAGCAGGTGGTCCACGAACAGACTGTTCCTGGACTCGATGAAGTCATCTCTGCTGCATCAGCAATCGACAACGCGAAGAGTGAGATGTCACGAGTCGGCGGATTTGCGCCTGCTCGGTGGGCATTTCGGGAAGATGCCTCGTGTCCCAGGGAGTCAATTCGACGACGAGGAAACTTTCGACTTAGGAGTGCCGGTGAATGTTGCGGAGGACGTAGCAGACGAGTTTTTTCGCCAGGCTGCGATCCGGGCGTCTGCCAGAAAAGCATTCGCAGAACCCGACGTCGGGAGTAGGACGGCAAAGGCTGCTCTCCGAAAGGCAGCGCCACTCGCTGGATGATATCAGGTAGGTGATCTAGTATGTTTTCGCAAGAGGCCGACCGACGGCGAGGTTACCGCTAAGTGGATCATTGGTTCTCGTACCGGTGGATTCGATGGCAAGAACTCATGGGTTATCCCAGAGGGTGTACCTGTCTGCGTGGCTGTCGACGGGCTTCGACCGTGTACAGCGGCGGAAGCGTTGGCTTGCCAATCTCTCTCTAAGCACCATGACGGTTGTGTAGAGAGGTTTGCACTTCCAGACGGGCAACAGCAGTCGTTCGTGGGCGGGCGACGTGGTTTGCCATAACCACGGGCGCAAAAGCATTCTGTGGAGGAACATCCATGGCGACGGAAGAGCTACGGGGGGTCCCAGGAGACCCCGAATTAATGGAGGTAGAATTTCGCCAACTGAAAGAAAATCGACTGTCAGGTGGAATGGTCATTCCTGTGCCGCCCGCGTCGAGGTCGTCACAGATGACCCGAACGCCCATTGCGAGGTCGTTATTGGACGATGTCCCGCACGGTATACGGAGTCGTAGCGAAGTGATGCACAGAAGAGTCGAGAATGCGGATGGTGATACGGGAAGGGTTTCCGAATCTGTTTCGGTGCCAGCTCCCGCAAAACCATTTCTTGAGTCCATGCGCAGGGCCGGAACATCAGGGCCTGGCATGGATCTTCTAGCTCGTAGAGAAGTTTCTCTCGCTGTCAAGCCACATGAATCGCTTGTCGGATTCTTCAATGAATGCACCGTTCATTAGCCGCAATCAAAGAAGAAGCTACAGAGAACAAAGAATATGGCATGCCATCGGGAATCTGAGGACGTTAGAAGCGGTTTACGACTGGCAAGGCAAGACGAATTGGGAAAATGACGGAAGTTCAACGCCGCCGTGATTATTGATTCCCTGGACCTGCAAAATCTCCTCGACGCGGGATATAGTATGGTGCTTGCGCAATGGATTGAGATTGATAAGGATGAACATATCCGTAGACCGGGTGCACCTTTGGTTGCACCGCAGTACAAGTGTAGACTTGTCGTACGTGGAGATCTGGAAGAGTCGTTGGGCATCCGCGCTGATGCACCAACATGCGAACTCAAAGGGCCAAGGTTGATCGCATCATGGGCTGCCGGCGCAAAGAAGACGCTTAAGTGTGCCGACGTTGCATCTATGTACTTCCAGGGGCAGTCCACGGCATGCGCGACGCAGGGCGAGGTTCGTGGAAGAACATGCGCTGAAGGTTTGAAGGTCATGGTCTGACAGAGAATAGTAGCGTGCCGGCTTTGTTCAGCATTCGCAATGACAAGAACGAGATCACGTGCATGTTAGGTACACATGTCACATGTGGATGACGTGCTGCGGGCTGCAGATGATGAGGGTCAGAGAATCATCGATTCGGTATTAGCAGAGTTTGATGTTCGCGAGATCAATCCGGATAATTTCCGTTATTGCGGTTCAGAGGTTGTTCTGTATGAAGGTTTCACGGCGCGTACCACGGCGTAGGACAGTAGTGAGAATATCGAAGTTGCCTCCTATCTTAGAGACAGCCCCGTCACGAGAAAATGCAATGGTGGCGAGACAGCGCAGCCTAGGTCGGTCGCAGGTGCTTTGTCATGGGTTACACGTCAGTGTTAACCTGGGCTATTGTATCGCGTGAGCAGACTGCAAGCTGCATCGCGTCACGCTAAGGTACATCATCTCAAGGGAGTTATCCGTGCAATCGAAGAAGCAACTCAGCCCGCTGACTGCGGAGAGTATCTATCAAAGGTGAAGCTTCTAAGTGGAATCAAGATTCTTACTGTTACCGGCGCCAGCTGGGCAGGAGAAAAAGACATCGTCAAGGGTAGAATTGAGCCTCTGAGGTCACAGAGGGCCAGGTTCAACGGACTCGCAGGGCCTGGGTTCATCGAGGGGAACATTGATCATGTTCATCCTAAACGTATATCTAGTACGTGATCAAATGAGTATGTAAATCTACACTACAAGCAGATGCCCTATCTTGCTTGTGGGGTGTATAATCTGGTGTACGCATTCGCGCCGCCATCGCAGATGCGCGTGGGATGCTTGGGGCAGGAAAGAAGCTGCCAACCAACTGGGAAGACAAACCAGCCATGTTTATGAGACACATAGGGGTGACGGATTGCTGAAACCTTGAAGGACATCGCGTAGAACCAACTATGAGTAAGACAGAAGATAAGCGCTTGAATATTGATTTGAGTAGTTTAAATACAGGATAGCTGGACTAATCGAGTGGAAGAAGTAGAGATGATACACCCACGTGCACTTTGTGATAAGATCCGATGGATCGATACAAGTAGTATGGCTGCTGGTTGTCTGGCGAAGAATATGCCTACAAATGTCCTTGTTGAGGTCTTACACACAAGTGCGTATGACGCAACCCCAGACCCTGAATCTACCTCAAAGAAGGTCAAGAAGCAACTGGCGAGGGTCAGGATGAATGCTACACCTTCGGGGAAGTGACTGATTGAGTCCTGGCTGCCTTCGGCTTGAGTAATCCCAACAAGGGAATACTCCTTCTACTGCCCCTAGAGGTTTACTCGGACCAGCGGTGCTGCGCGGTCCGCCAGCCAGCTCGTGATAAAATTGCACGGGTGTGAGTTCGTGCGTGTGTCACGTATGTATATGCACCACTCGTTGCCTTTTGACCTCTGGGGTCCTTGTTCCCATTGCGCTAAAAACATCATAATCACACATATTTCTCTACTTCGACTCCCCAATTCACTTTCAAGCCTACGCGGATCCAGAAAACAAGAGCGCAATGGAAAGGGATGGGAGGGAGGGATATACTGGCAGTTATGGCGCGAGCGCAACTAGCTTGCCCAACTCCCCCTCCCCCACTCCACTTTTTGCTTGCATGTTTCCTCGGTTCATGTTTTGGGGGCTCCGCCGCCCCGGTCCGTCGACAAAGCAACACTTCAACCAGGGGGCGCGGAGCGCCCCAGGGTTCGCCGCCGGGGTCGGCGCCAGGGTGTTGAGACCACCCTGGACTATTCGGAGTCCCTCCGGTCCGATGAAATGGGTACGGAAAGAACGGGTACGAGAACTGACAGAAAGTCTTGCCAAATTTGAAGAGGGCTCGCTGTCGGTGTCGTTCGATGTCTCCCATTCCAGACACAAGGCCGCCTGCCCAACAGCGGCCGCTTTCAATCAGGGACAACGTTTGTTGTTGGGCATCGTATCAATTTTTGTCCGTACCCATGCCAGGTGCCTACATCATTGGTTCCCCATCGAGGAGGGAAGCAAAGGCGAACAAGGAAACGGGACGGGCGAACAATGCATTTTTGAAGGCGAGCCAGGGGACCCCGAAAGCGAGTCCAATAGGCCGGCTCGTGTCCGCCCGTTATTTGGGGTCTATGTCGCCCGCAGGGGCGCGAGTACATTCGCGCGTCGCGGTTTGGACCGGAGAGCTGCCCCTTGCAGGTGGAGGGCGCGAAGATCACTGCGCGCCGCGCATCACGGGAACTATGCGCCAAGTTGGATGACCCAGTTTATCTCGAGGGAAGGACTACGATGACCGAAACCAAGATGTCGCGGGATTTTGTCGACGCCTGTCTTCGTCATTGTCCATGCCGACCGCCGCCGACCTGCGAGCGCGACCCACGAATTCACGACGACCAAAATGGACAGTGACCAAGATCGACACCGACATTCCCGCGTTCTGTCTCGGTCGTGGTCCTCGTTCTCGTTCCTTTCATCATCGTCCCCAGGCACCGGGCGCTCCAATTTTTTCGATGCGTGGACCCCCAGAGGTCTGGACAACTTCCTTAGGGCAAGTTTTTTGGCTTGAGTCGTTTTTTGACGGTCCTGGAAAAGGAGGGAAAGGAGGAGGCAGGATGGAAAAGGAGGAGGAAGGATGAGCAGGGAGGAGGAGGAGGGAGGAGGGAGGAGGGAGGAAAGAGGAGGGAGGAGGAAGGAAGGAGGAGGAAGGAGGAAGGAGGGAGGAGGAGGGAGGAGGGAAGAGGAGGAGGGGGAGGAGGAGGAGGAGGAGGAGGAGGAGGAGGAGGGGAGGAGGAGCAGGAGGATGAGGAGGAGGATGAGGAGGAGGAGGAGGACGAGGAGGAGGCCCCCGGAGGCCGATCATCGCCAAAAACCAGTTGCCCCAACTTTTCCACAGCCTCGGGTCTCCGGGCCCCCCCGCGTGCGGCAGAGGTCGACGAGGCCGAGGCCCAGCTGCGCAGAGAGCTCGCCGAGTCCAGCAGGGAGAACCGAAGGCGCGCCTCCCCCGTGCACGGCGCGGTCTGGATACCCCAGATTTCGTAATAAAAGGGAGGGGGTCTGGACCCTCCAAGACAAGCCATTTCAGACCCCCCCTCGTGGGAGAACCCTCCAAAACATCGACCCCAGACCCCCCCAGGCCCTCTAAGATAGCCTGGAAGAGACCCCCCCCGAAATGAGACCCCCCTCCCTTTATTACGAAATCTGGAGTACCCACCCCCGCCTGATCCATCGTCTTTTGGTAGGCGGATCTCTCAAGCTCTCCGCCGCCTCTGGCGGTGTGCGTTGCGAGCAGGAACGCAGCAAAGCCACAGGCTCAAGATGGACACGGGTGGTGGCCGCGGAGCCCCCGCGACGTGTCCACGATCGATCCTGTGCCTCCGAGGAGCGGGAGCTCGGGGAACGACGGATGGCACGGACATGAGCTTCCGGAGGTCCTCGCAGATTCCCTGGATCGCCACTGGGGCCCCCCGGCGGTGCCTCTGGCGCCGCCCCTGGCGTGCTCCGCGCGCCGGGGCGGGGGCCCAGCGCGGATGCGAGGAGGCCGCGCGGACCTCCGACGGACCTCCAACGGGGGGCCCCCCACCAGGAAAGCGGTTTGGCCGCTTTCACTAAGGGGAGGTTTACGAAAGGGAGGTTTGTCCACCGCCGAGTTTCGTGTTCGTGTCGTGCGTGCGGGCGAGACAAGCTGCGCGGGTGAGCGGGAGTACAGGGTCCTCGTCTGGCTTGGGCGCCGCCGGGCCCAAACACCCGCCCCCTGCAGGGTGTCCCGCCATGGTGTCCCGACTGTTCCCGTGGTGGCCCGCCAGTGTCCCGCAGTGGGATCGGTAGTGAGATCGACAGTGAGACCGACAGTGCGATTGATGGTGGGACCGACAGTGGGATCGATAGTGAAATCGATAGTGGTATCGGTTGAGTGAGACAAAACTGGTGTTTCACCCACCGTGAGCAGAGGTTCTTGCAGACCGGTTCCGGCGGGGCTGCTGCAGCGGCCGCGCTCTCCGCGGTCCCGAGGGACGCCCGCAGGTTGGACCTGTGCGTCATGAAGGAGTAGTCGAGCACGACATCTTGGCGCGGCTTCCTCCTCGTCCTCCTCCTGCTGCTGCTCCGTGGTCTCGTGCTCCTGGCTGCGGGCGCGCTGTGAGGGAACCTCCGCCGTGGTGGGAGCTTGTCTGAGTTGGATTTGGGGGAAAATCCGGCGGATCCCTTGGGGACCGAGGCAGCTGCGGGAGGGGGAGAGGCAGGGGATAGAGAGAGGGGGGGGCTGTGCCTCGGCGCCGTCGTTGCCCCTCGCCCTCGCCGCGACTCAGAGATGTCCAGCGGACGAGGGCCAGGGACAGGCTGAGGGCAGCAGGGATGGGGGGTAAGAAACGGCACTGAGACAGACACGACCCCAGCCCCAGCACCCCCGTACCCCTGGTTTCCGATCCAGCCAGCTCTCGAGACCCCGCATCCCGAACGGAAGAGGGAGTCGAGAGCGGAAGCACTCAGAGGGGGAGGTGGCGGGGAGGGGTCAGCCGTGTGGCCGCGATCTCTCCTTCCGGGCGAGAGGTCCTGTCTCGCGTCCACGGTCTACCTCCTAAGTCGGGTGCTGCAAAACCACTTGGGCTTGGCCTCTCGGGGCCTCCTTTGGGGCATCTTGGGGCCCTCTTGGGGCGTACTTGGGGCCCTGTTGGGCCGTCTGGAGGCCATCCTGTCGGCCGCTCGTTCCCCCGCCCATCGCCCCTCACACTCTGTCCTTCCCTTCGGGCGACCGCCCCCCCCGGCACAGCACGGTAAGGCTCGAAGGGCCGATGGGGCGTACGCAACAAGGCGGCACCCCGAAAACATAGCTCCCTTGGGCTTGGATGGCCAAGGGTCTTGGTATAGGGGGTGGACAGAGCCCCCAACAGTGACGCGTCGATTAGTGAGTTGTCCGTATTCGGTTCTCGAGGGGGCGCCGCGGCCGTTATTGTCCAGGCTTGCGCCCGCCAGGTTTGGGCCCGAAGTCGTTTTCACTAAACCACGTTTTACTACAGGGAGGTCTGTCCATCTCCGATGGTAGAAGTCGGCGGCGAGCGAGGGGTGGAAGTGGGAAGGAAAAGGCCCTCTCAGAAAGCGGCGAGACTTCTCAGAAGCCCTCCGGCCTTCTGAGAAGTTTTCCGTGTCTTCGGGAAGTGGGCATTTTTTTCAGAAGGCCCGGGTAATTTCCGAGCCTTCAGACAAGGCCCGTCCCTTCCCAGTTACTCCCCAGGCGCGCCGCCGATAATAGTCTCGTGGACTCTGAGCACGCGCTCCTTCGTGCGAGCTCAGCGCCGTGTCCCAGGACCTCCTCCTGGGGCCAACAGCACGGCTCGATCGCGGCGGGGCCGAGTTGTTGTGGGAGAAGTGTTGGGCTTGGTGGTTCATACAGACAGGAATGTGCCACGCTTTCGAGGGGTCCAGGAGATGTCGTCTCTTCATCGGCGGAAGGCCCGCGGGTGTCGGCGGAATCAAAACGATGCCGCCTGCGCCGGCGGAAGCTGACGCAAGGCCAGCGGAAGTAGGTGGAGGCAGAAACAATTGTCCCCCAAAAGATGTCAGCATTCTTTGACGCAGGGTTTCTGGACTCGGCCACGTGGCGGTGCCGTTTGAAGTTCGCAGTGCAAGGTTGAGTTCCAAGAGTTTCCATTCAGTCTCTGGTAAGAGCCCCAGATCGCGTGGCGGGCGTGGACGTTCAGAAGACAATCACGCCGTCACCCGTCGCCGTCGATCTTGAAATGGAGCGGCGGCGGGGCGGACGTGTGATGCGGTAGAACATTACCAAAATACGTGGTGTCAGTTTCGCAGTGTGATGCAATCATCGCAGCAGGGCTCGCCGAGAAAGGTTCAGATCACCTGACACAGGCTTACATCTTATTCCGCCATCGGGAATTCATGCGCACCTTGTCGAGTGCACGACCAAAGGCTTACCTCGCACCTTCGCGCGGTCTGATGGCAGCCTGTCCACCTCATTCCCAGATTCGAAGCGGGTAGTGGTGCGGCGTTGAGGCGAAGGGGTCGTTTTGGGAAGCGCTGTGGCTCTAAAATCGACAGCGCCCATGCAGAGGTTTGGCATTTTATGTGGTACCGAGCGTTGTCGTAGTTCTGCTGTGGCGAGGCTTTCGCATCGTGTACTCGTGGCGAGGGCAGCAAGTCTCACAGTTGCATTTTCCCAGACGTGCCCGCCGTGCCGGCACCCTGCTACCTGCCCGAAGCGTCCTGCAGGGGCGTCGCATCCGCAGATACCCTGTGCGTCATTACGGAATCCAAGCGAACGTCGTGCACGCATAAATTTTTTGTATCATATCAATGCCGATATCCATCGGAAAACAAAACAAGGCATAACAGATAGCAAGGCATTCACATAATCTAGGATCTGCGTTGGCACCCAGTTTCGGCGCCTCCGGTACCGCCCTTGGCGCGCTCCGATCGCCAGGAGAGGGTGGCCGAGCGCCGATCGAAGAATCCGCGCAGACCCCCAACAGTGTATGTTTATTTCGATGCTCGGTCCTCGGAGGACAACAGTACACACAGACACACAGAAAAATTGCGTTTACTCCACCGTTTTGCGCGTTGCGTCATCAGCCCTGCCCTGTCTGATTCATGCCGTAGGTGAGTTTACCACTGGGGTTCGGTGCTGCTGCTGCTTGCTGTGGGGGTGGTTCCTCTGCCGCCCAGATGCGCACTGCCTCTGCTCCCGTGCGCCAGGCTGATGCCCGAGCTCCGCGACACAGACACAATTAACCGTCGACTTCCAGGAAAATACGGGAAAATATGGGAAGGGGGGGGGAGCACAAAAACATATATGGGGACTCCTGTTATATTTGTGTGTGTAGTATTTGTGTGTCCCTGGGCTGCGTTATCTGCACCCGTGCGCCAGGCTGATGTCCGAGCTCCGCGACATGATTGGCCAGCTGGACGAGATCCAGGTGCTCCGGAGCACCCACGGCGTCTGAGGCCGCCCGCCACCGGCCGGGCCCCCGAGGCCGTCCTGCGGCCCCTCGCGTGCAAATGCACGGGTGGCGCGCGCGGGGCGGCCCTCGGCAGGGCCGCGCTCGCACGCGCGGCCTGCTGTGCCATGGCGCCAACAGCGCAGAGCGGATGTCGCTCGGAAAACGGTGGGGGTGGGCCCAGGTCGACTGGACGTAGGAGTGACCTTTCGCCGGAGTGACCTTTCGACGCGGCCCCCAAAAAGTCGCGCACCAAAGGTCACTCTTACCCAGGGTCACTCCTGCGTGTAGCCGACCAGGGTGTCCCGGAGAGTGTCGTTCCGGATTTCGAGGCGAGTGTCGTGCGGCTTTTGTTTGACCAGGGATGAAGACCAAGAAGAACCCACGCGAAACTCACTTCGTTGTTCGCTCGCCGCCTCGGGCAGAAATCCACGAGGAAATCCGCGCAGAAATCCGCAGCAGCACGTCTGCAAGGCCCGTGCAATGATCTGTGATTCGTTTGTCCCCCCTGCTCCCAATCGTGCGCTGCTTGGTTGAGTTAGCACAAGACGTGTCGCCGAGCGCGTTCCGCTACTCGCAAAGTCCCTACTCGCAAACGCCAGAGAAGAACCCGTCGAGTCCTCCATGCAATGGATCGTAGATCCTGCGCGGCGGATCGAGGCCGTTTGCGAGCAGTCCTTTTGCGAGTAGTGGAACGCGCTTGTCTAGCGTGTGTCAATGGAGTGATGGGCCTGTTTTCCACCACCACCACCACCACCATAAGTGGGAGGAGGGAAGGAGGTGGAGGACGAGGAGGAGGAGGACGAAGAGGAGGAGGAGGAGGAGGAGGAGGTGGAGGAGGAGGAGGAGGGGACCCCCCCCCTTCCAACCTGTGATGGTGGTGGTGCAAGACAGGCCCATCAGTGGAGCGGTCCACAACGAGTGGTCCCAGGCCACGCACGCAGCACGAATCATGGCGCCCACACCTGCGACCGGGGGACCTGGCCCGCCCGCGCCGGCCTTCCAGGCCCCGCCCCCGGCAGACTCGGGCGCGCTCCGTCTTTGAGTCTGCCTCTGTTCAAAGAGGGGAAAAATACGCAGACACAATCCATCGTCGATCCCCGGGAAAATATGGAGAAATGTCGGAAGTGGGGGGGAAGACGAAAGCCCAGAAAAGATGTGGAAATATGGGGAATCATGGGATTTGTGTCTATTTATTGGTGTGTCCCTGACCCCCTTCATCTGTCTCTGCTCCGATCCGCGTCCTCTGTCGAAGGCAGTCATTCAGTAGGATGCCTCTCCGGGGAGACCAAACTCAGCATCGGCGCAGGTATGCCCGTGGTCGGGCTTAGGGCCAATCTGGGCCAATCCCGCCTACTCCGGCTCAGTTCGGGTCACTTTGGCGCAATGCCTTTTTTAATCGAGCTGGGGTCGCCCGAAATCCTGATCAGAACGCGCCTCAAGGAAGGGTCTGCGGAGCAGGGGATGTTCTTGGTGTCCCTGAGAAGGTGTATTCGATTACTTGCGGCAGACCCCACCACCGTGCCGGCGGAGCAAGGCAGGAACGCCGTGAGGAAGGAGGTCTAAGTCTTGAGGCCCGCTCACATTCAGGCAGGGCACCGTTTGGAGCGGAGCACCCTTTCCTCCTCGCTCTTCCCTCCTCGTTCCTCCTCCTTCCTCCCTCTCCTCGCTCTCCTCGTTCCTCCTCGTTGCTCCTCTCTCCCCTCCTCGCTCCCCTCCTCCCCACTCTTGTCCGCAGCCTCGTTCTCTGGCCTCTCTCCTCGCTCCGCCCTGCGAGGAGGGAGCCCCTCAGCACCCAGGCCGCGGCGCGCGAAGCGCGGTCAACAAAAAAAACAAGAAGAAAACAACAACAAACACAACAAGAACAAAAAACCAAAAACAAAAGAAAAGAAACACAACCACAACAAAAACAACAATATAATCGATCATCTTCGCGCCTCGACACGTGCCGCGTGCCTTGGCACGCCGGCCCTCCGACGCAGTCCTCCGTGCCGCGTCCCTCCCGAGCCCCCTCGTCTCTCGGAGGCGGACAGAGCCCCCAACGGTGACACGCCGTTTCGTGAAGTGTCCGTTTACGGTCCTCCCTCCTCCCCCCCTCCTCCTCCTCCTCCTCCTCCTCCTCCTCCTCCCTCCTCCTCTCCTCCTCCTCCTCCTCCTCCTCCTCCCTCCTCCCTCCTCCTCCTCCCTCCTCCTCCTCCTCTCTTCCTTCTCCCTCTCCCTCCTCCTCCTCCTTCTCCCCCTCCTCCTCCTCCCTCCGCCTCCTCCTCCCTCCTCCCTCCTCCTCCTCCTCCCTGGCGTGCCAGAGGCGCCGCCAGGGGGCCCCAGCCACGGTCCCAGGAGCCCGCGCGGGCCCCGTGCCGTGTTTTGCCCATGCCCCCCCCGCAAGTGCGGACAGGAGTGAGGGGGTGCTGCTCGGGGGTGGACGGGACCCCCCATTTTCACCCAAAGAGCCTGCCTGCTGGGGGGGGGGTGGCGTGGGATTGCAGCAGCAACTGATTCGGGTCGTGCGACCCAGAGGTGTTGAGAGCGGGTCATGCCTGGGCGCATTCGTATTCTCCCAGTGTCTTCGGGGGTGGACAGGACCCCCAACAGTGACACGCCGATTCGTGAATTGTCCGTTTTCGGTTCTCCAGAGGGCGCCGTGGCCGCTATTTTCCAGGCTTGCGCCCGCCGGGTTTGGGCCTGAGGTCGTTTGCACTAAGCCGCGTTTTACGAAAGGGGGGTCTGTCCATCCCCGAGCTGTGGTCTTGGCACGACGCGCTGTGAACGTGGCGCGTGGCGGCTTGGCGCCTGCGGAGCCACAAGGAAGGGAAGGAGATCACGGACAGATGCCGTCCGCCACAGCGGACAATGGAGAACGAATCCCAAGCTGCAAGATTTGCGCCAAAGCCAGCGCGGCTACCAAGATCGTCGTACGAATTCCCGAGCCCCAGCCTGGGGCATGACCAGGGAAAACGAAATCAAGCATCCGAAGAAGACGCCCGCCGCAGGCGCCGATGTTTCCATGGCGCCGCCATTGGGCCCCCGGGACGCCGCGGCCCCCCCCGGGACGGGTGGAACAAGTGAAACGAAGCATTCGATGAAGAAGCCCGCTGCCGGCGCCATTCTTTCAAACATCACTGCAATCGGGCCAGACGAAAGGGGGGGATTGGAAAAGGGGGGGTTACGAAATCTGCTGCATGCAGCTGGTTTCCCCGCCGCCGGGCCCATTCCTCGATACACGGGCGCCTCCCGGCGCCTCCCAGCTCCTGGAAAATCAGCTACGAGAGTTGATTCTCGAACCCCCCCTCTGCTGTCCCTTACCAGCCTGGAACATATCCCTATCCCTATGCTGGGCACCTCCTCATCACGATGCCAATCTTAGGGATTCCCTTATTTTTTGAGGGCGAATCCCTAAGATTGTCATCGGCTTTTGGCGTGCCAATCTTAGGGATAGGGATACGTTCTTGGCTGGTAAATCCCCCCCTTCGCCCGGCCCGATGCTATAGCGCTGCTGCACCTCTGCGCGACCGGGGCCGGCGCCACGCGGGGGGGGCCCGTCGCCGGACGGGGGCTGCTGGAGCAGAAGCGCACGGAGCAATTCCGTGAAGAGGCCCGCCGAGGCCGCCCTTTTCTTGGCATCGTTCGGACGTGTGCATGTTTTTCTTCTGCGAGGACCATGGTGCGGGCAATGTCTATATCCACATCCAGTGCGTCTGGGAGTTTCGGGCTCTCTCCCTCAGAAACATGAGGCGCACTGGATATGGATTAAAGTCTGGCCCCAAACTGCTCGACTTTTATCCATATCCAGTGCTGCGGCGTGCCTTCCAAGAAAGTCCAAGACGCACTGGATATGGATAGAAGTATTGTCCGCACATGGAGGAGCGTCCTTGATCATGTGGCGAAACAAAAAAAACACGCACGAAACCGAAACATAACACGGGGAATGAACGTCCGAGCGATGGCCAGTTTTATATCCTTCCACATTCCATATCCGCGAAGCCCCGATTTCAGTCGGGCCTGTCCCTCTCCAGGAGGAATGTTCAAAAACAGTCAAACAATAATCCGGGGATGATTGAAATATCCGCTTTGGACGCCCGAAATGGGCACGGAAACAATGGGCACAATGCCCAACAGCAAATGTCCCAAACCGACAGCGGCCGTTGTTGGGCAGGCGGCCTTCTGTTTCAAGTGGACACAGGACACGGCGGCGCGGACAGCGAGTCCTGTTCAGAATGAACAAGAACTGTTGTTGTGCATTGTACCCATTCTTTCCGTGCCCATCTCGTTCGTGCAGATCCGCGAAGCCCCGACTTTAGTCGGGCCTGTCCCTCTACAGGAGGAGTGTTCAAAAACGGTCAAAACATAATCCGGGGATGACTAACAAACAAAACTCTTTTTGAGCATGTTTTGAGCATGTCTTGAACACGTGCTATCTTTCGCCCCGAATCCCCCCCGTAGGCAGGGGGGCACACGCCCGACCTGAGCCCGGACCAGCGCCTGAGCATTTGTTGAATCTGTCTTGGATCTGTTCTATCTTTCGCCCCAGTTCCCCCTGTGGGCAGGGGGGCACAGGCCCGACCCGAGCCCAGACCAGCGCCACCCTTCGGGCGCCTCGGCGACGGGCCCCTCGCGGCGCCCCTGCACGACGGGGCCCTCGCACGACGGGCCCCCGCCCGACGGGCCCCGCACGACGGGCCCCCACGACGCCGCGGGCCCCTGCGGTGGGCCCCCGGCCCCCCCCCCTCCCCGCCTTCGGGACTCCCACACGTGCGCGCGGGCCCCCCCCGACCGGCCCGACCGGGCCCCGCCGGGCCTCCCCCGCGGGCCAGGAAGAAGAAGAAGAAGAAGAAGAAGAAGAAGAATACGATGATGAAGAAGATAAGCGCGACGACGTTTGCCTGCCCCGAAGCAGCCAACGTGCGCACGACTTGACACCTAGATTCGCGTGAGCGGAAGCCCCTCACTCCGATGACTATTGCATCGTCTGGTTCTCTACAAAAAGGGGGAGGATGGCTCAGGGGTGTTCTCGGGAGGCTCGAAACTCGAGACATGTGTTTCTGGCGTTCTCTTCGGTTCCAGTGTGTGTGTGTGTGTTTCCGGCATCGTGATGCTGTCCAGCAGTTGTGTCTCGTCGAGAGCTGTCCAGGAGTGCCCTTATCGTCCCGAACGGCCGCTGGAAGCACGAGTTCTGGCCCGGAAGCCACCAGGTGTCGAGAAGGGAGGTGAAGATCAGGAGGGGTGGACGTCATGGCCACGGCCATGAAATTCCCCCAGATTTCGTGGCCCGCTCTTCTTACTTCAACACGTCCTTTGGTTTCCCCTACTGCTCATTTCATTCGTCGGCGACCATGCCTCGGACCATGATTTGTGAACCCCCTCCTGGAGGCCTCCCTTGCGGGACGCCCTCGAATGTGAAGGGGGGATAGGCTCAGAGGGCGACACATCGACCCTCTGCCAAGGGGCGTGCGGCTTCAATGTCGGGGGCCCGTCGCCCATCTGTCGTCGATGCGTCGCCGCTTCCGTGTCGACGTTCTCTCTCCGCCCCCTGAGCAGGCCGCCCCCCGATCGCTGCCCCTCGGCGCGGGTACCGTCCTGCGCGCGGGCGATGATGGCGAATCCCATGGACGACCTGGACATGGAGACGGACACCGGGGCGGGGAGCGCCGGAGCAGCCGGCCGGCAGACGGGAGAGCCGCCATCGGGTCACGAGGAGGAGGAGGAGGAGGAGCAGGGCGAGGAGGAAGAAGGGGAGGAGGAGGAGGAGGAGGAGGAGGAGGAGGAGGAGGAGGAGGAAGAGGAAGAGAAGAGGAAGATGAAGAGAGCGAGGAAGAATAATACGAAGAATAATAATCAGAAGGAACATTAAACTGAGAAGAATCTGAAGAAAACGAATAATAATATTCATAATGGTAATATAAAGAAGAAGAAGAAGAAGAATAAGAAGAATAATAAGAAGAAGAAGAAGAGAGGAGGAGGAGGAGGAGGGGAGGAGGAGGAGGAGGAGGAGGGGGAGGGGGAGGGGGAGGAGGGGGAGGGGGAGGGGAGGAGGGGGGGGAGGGGGGGGAGGGGGAGGGGGAGGGGGAGGGGGAGGAGGAGAGGATGAGGAAGAGGAGAGAGGCAGAGGAGGAGGAGGAGGAGGAGGAGGGGCAAGGAGGGGCATGTGGAGGAGATGGACATGGAGGAGGAAGAGGAGGGGGAGGAGGAGGAGGAGGAGGAGGAGGAGGAGGAGGAGGAGGAGGAGGAGGAGGAGGAGGAGGGGGAGGAGGGGGAGGGGGCGGAAACGGAGCACAACTCGGTGTGCCTGGAGGCGCGCGAACTGCGAAAGGGGCGCAGCTGGGGGAAGGGAGGGAGGGGGAGAGTGTGTGGCCAGATTGGTGCCCTCGCCACCCACCCCCAGGGTCGATTTCGATCCGATCGATCCGATTCGACATTGATTTCAGCCTGCCCGATTCGATTCCGATATCCCGACGATCTGATGCGGCCCGATGTTTATATTGCCTTGCTGTGCATCCTGGCGCTGCCGATCGGATCCGATTACTGTTCCGTGTCGATGCGGCCAGATTCGATGCACGGTTCGATCCGATCCGATTCATTGATGTGATGTTAGCCGATCTTGCCACCCCTACGCGCGCCGCTGGATGCAGCACCATTTTGAGATGGTGCAATCCTTGGCATCGCTCGGTTCTGTGCATTTTTCCTTCGGCGAGGACGATCGAGGAGCATCCTTGATCATGTGACGAAAAAACACGCACGAAGCCGACAACATCTCAGGGAATGGACGTAGCGATGGCCAGAAACTTTCTGGTTGAAATCAAAGACTACACGAAAGGCTATGGATTGGCATCTTGTGTGTCGGAAATGCCTTGCGCGGAGAGAGCCCAACATCTTCCGGAGAGGGCCAGTGTAGAGACGAGAAGTATGCAATGTATGCTTGTAAACGGGGTGTGGCAAGGTTGGTGCCCTGGCCCCCTATCCTGGTGGCGCGCCGCCCGGGGCACATCATCATCAGCAGCAGCAGCAGCAGTTGCATCATCTGCAGCAGCAGCATTATCAGCATCATCATCATCATCAGCAGCATCAACAGCAACATCATTCTCATCATCATAATCAGCATCATCAGCCGCATCATCTCACACCATCACACGCGATTATCAGTATCATCATCACCATCATCATCACCATCATCATCATCATCATCATCACACAATGACCATCATCAAACAATGATCATCAGCATGGTCGTCATCACCATGATCAGCGGCAACAGCATCATCATCACCACCACCATAGCCATCATCACCATCAGCATCACCATCATCATCCTCATCCTCCTCCTTCTCATCCTCCTCCTCCTCATCATCAGCAGCATCAGCATCATTGTCACCATCCCCCGGGGCGCCGCCGAGTGCTGCGATGGGCAGCCGAGGATCTGACCACGCAGATGGCGATCATCGAGGCCATGGCCGGCGGCCCGCCTGCCGCGGCCGACCCGCCCCTCGCGCAGCGGCAGCAGTGGACTGATGAGACCGACTATGCGGGGGGCTGGCGCCAGGACAGGGCAGGACAGGAACAGGCCGCGCCCAGACGGCGCAGGTGATTCGGCAGCTCTTGATGTACATGCGAGGCGGCGTGCGAAAGTGGGCAGGGTAACGGCTGCCCAGTGCTTCGCAGAAATCGATGTCTCTTTTTGTATTAACGAAGTGCGAGAAGTGCGAGGGACACCTGCGCAGCCTCCCGGAAGGAGGAGGCGGAGGGGGAAGAGGAGGAGAAGGCGGGGGGAAGGAAGCGAGGGAGGAAGGGAGGGAGGAAGGGAGCGGAGGGGGCTGGCGCCAGGAGGCCCGATCAGGCTATTGTGTGGTCCTTCATGGGAGTCTCAGAGGGTCCCGAACTTCCTTGCGGTTTTGTGGATTTCGTCCAGACGTCGTCGCATGTGGTTGACTCCAGGACGAAATCTGGACGAAAGGGTGAGTAGGGATGGTCGAAGTCTGGTCGAAATCCTGTCGACAGCAAGTTTATGATAGGGCCTCAGAGGTCCACAGAGGCTCCCATGAAAGCTCACTCAGAAGCCTACGAGGGCTGGATCCAGCTCCGATAGAACCGCATTATGGTTCGATCCGATTGTATTAGATTCTTACCTAGGCTCGGTCCAACCTTACTAGAACTAAGTCGGGCCTGTCCCTCTACAGGAGGAATACTCAACAGTAGTAAAAAATAGTCTTGGCACGATTTCCTGATAATCTTTGAAGTATTTTGATATATTTTTTGAGTATTTTTCATTAGTCGCCCAAAATGCGCCTATAGGGAGACATGCCCGACCTTAATGCTAGAGTCTTACCGAGACCACGGCCTTGCCCGCCTGGTCTTGGCTAGGACCGGACAGTGTCCGCATCGGTGGTCGTCGTCGCCGTCACTAGGGCTCGATCCACCTCTGATGGCATCCCACTGGGGCTCGATCGTCGTCGCATGCTTCGCCGTCGTGCGTCGTCGTCGTCGTCATCGTCGTCGTCGTCGTGGTCGTCGTCGCCGTCGTCGTCGTCGTCGTCGTGGTCGTCGTCTCCGTCGTCGTCGTCGTCGTCCGCGTCGTTTGCTGACGGCGGCGACGTTGTCGTCGTGCGCACCCGCGGGCGACCCGGTGCGAGGGAGGTATGCGCGGGGCTTCGTACAATCGCGGAAGAGACAACGGCATGAACATACAGTCGGGGCGCTGGAGAAGGAACCCTTTTCGTTGGGGAGGGGCTCGGTGTTCCTTGATTGTTTTACAGTTTGCCTTGGGTTGTCCTTAGGTTTTCCATGGGGAATCGAAGTTGAACTTATGGGAAAAGGGGGCCTCGTTCCTTAATTAGGGTTCCTTAGGTCAAGGCCCCGACTGTACATGTTCAGAGCTCCGCGCAGATGAATGAAGTCTTTGCTGTGGACCCCCCCGCGACGCGCCCATGAGGCATTCCGACCGGGGGGAAACCAGCTCAGGGGGCGGGAAGCATCGAGCTGCAATTGGCGGTCCACCGCCATCAGTTAGGCGATATGCCCGCGATAACAAATCCGCAGCGGGGTCGCTGGCAGGGGGTGGCTGCCCGCACAAGGGGGTGGCGCGAGGTGGGCCACCGACTCGGACGGCGAGGGGCTTCGTAGAAGACGGGCGGCTTCTCAGGAGGGCCCAGGGGCCTCTGAGAGGCCTCCGCAGAAGCTCCAGGGTCCTCTGAGAGGCCTCTGAGAGGCCTCTGAGAAGCTCCAGGGCCCTCTGAGAGGCCTCCGCAGAAGCTCCCGGACCCTCTGAGAGGCCTCAGAAGCTCCCGGGCCCTGCCAGGCCTACCACGAAGTCCAAGCCGTGCTCTCCACCGTCGTCGGCGCCCGGCAGCGGAAAGGCCTCTGCGGGCGGGGCTGGCGCCCCGTCCGTGTTCGCAGCTCGTGGGCAGCCTCCGCCTTCTGGGCGCACCGAGTCTTCGGGGGCGAGCTGTCGAGGGGAGGAGGCAGGCAGCAGCTCGTGGGCGGGAAGCTTACCCAACAGGATGCAGCTCCCGGGAGGTCAAATCCAGAGTCGGCGTCGCTGGATCGCTGGTCGGAAACTGGCCTAGTCTGGTCCACTGCTGTGGAATCTGGCCTCCTCCATTTCATCGGGTTTCATCCCGCTCGATCCGGCCTGGTCCCGGGCTTACTCCGGCCTGATCCGGTTCAGGGGTCCCTTTCTGGGGCTGCATAGCCCCTAGCCGTGCTAACGAAGGCCTCCCTGCGTCGGCCTCCTCATGTCCGCATCCACAGCAGGAGGATGAGGAGGAGGAGGAGGAGGAGGAGGAGGAGACGGAGGAGGAGGAGGAAAGAGGAGGAGGAGGAGGAGGAGGAGGAGGAGGAGGAGGAGGAGGGGGAGGAGGAGGAGGAGGAGGAGGAGGAGGAGGAGGAGGAGGAGGAGGAGGAGCTCGCGTTCAGGACGCCTCTGCCGCGGCCGAATGTCTGCAGGGGGCGGGCCTGCGCGGCGGCTCCGCGCGTGACGCATGCATTGGATCGTGCGTCCCCTGAGTCCAGACTGCGAGGGCAAGGGTATGGATTTGGTCGTCGTTCGTGAACATCGGGCCAGACGAAAGGAGGGGATAGGGAAACGGGGGGTTGCGAAATCTGCTGCATGCAGCTGGTTTTGGCCCCACCGAGGGGCCTATTCCTCGATACATGGGCGCCTCCGGCGCCGGGAGGCGCCGGAAGCATCAGCTACGTGAGCTGATTCTCACCCCCCCCCTTTGCTATCCCACCCTTTCGCCCGACCCGAGAACAGCATGACGCGCCACGTCCCACGTCACCTGTATGGCGGGTGCCCGCGGACTCGGAGAAGTACTGCGACGACGTCTACGAGTACAGGCGGGTGACTGTGCCGCGTGGCATGCTGCAGGCGCCGCGGGGCTCGAGGAAGGGGCCCGTCGGCCCATCCCGACCGAGTTTTCACATTCGGTATGTGTTTCTGTATCGTTTCCTCCCTGCGAGCAGCTTGGGATCAGCATTGTGCTTGATTCTGCCAACTTCTTTTGGCTACCCCCCCGCCTGCGAAATCCACGTGCCAGTTTCGGTATCGATGTGCGAGTCGTCAGTGGAAGTTTGACGCCACCGCAGGTGCTTCCGCAGGGGAGGTGCATGAACGAGGCCGAGTGGCGGGCTCACGGTATCACCATGTCCCGCGGTTGGGAGCACTACGATTTCCATTCTCCAGAGCAGAACGTGCTTCTGTTTCGCAGGGTACTGGGGACCGACCCAAAGACAGGGTTGGCTCCTGCAGATATGATCGAGAAGGTCCGTACCCGTGAAGCATTCACCGCGGAGCTGGAGCAGTTGCGGCAGAGGATGGTCGCAGACCTATCGCGTAGGCTGGATCAGCCTGTTGCAAATCAGTTTTGACCGCAACAGTGTCCAGTGCAGTATCCAGTGCTTTGCCCTGCTCTACGGTGATCCTATTCTTATCTGCCCGCTCCTGAGCTCATTCCCAAGGTGTTCTTCAAGCTTCCTCCTCCTCGATACCTATCCCCTCTCCATCTGTGGCTCGAACAGTTTGTCCGCCGAGAAGTGTACAGTGCAGGGCGTTGGCGCATTGTGCACCTTCTGCGCAGCCACCGAGTCGTAAAAGAAACAAGGTGCAGAACCGGGCAGGGTTTCATAGCCGCGAGTTCGAGGTGCGAGTGGCAGTGGGCTTTTCGTGCCCCCGCTCGATCAGTATTGCAAGGATAATTGACGCTGCGCTGGCACTTTGCGTTTGCAGCCGCTGCGTTTCATCCAGTCATAGCTATGGCGCTGCTAGTGGCGCCTATACCTGGTGCCGTTGCACGGTCCATCTCATTCCACGCCTCGCGGCATCACCCGAGTCTGAAAGAGGAGTTCTCGGGCCGATGGGCTCTCCCACGTGTTCAGCCACGCCCTACAACATTATCGTTTTGGTGCCTAGTCCAGACCAACTACATGCTAACCAGAAGGCCGTTCAAGGTAAGGCAAGTAACATGTTATGCGAGCAATGAGCCACGTGAGAAGACAGCCAAAGACAAGCGACAGGGCTTCTTGGAGAACTGGGGGCTGGAAGAAGACGGGGACGAGGACCATAATAGACCTAGTATGCATCAACGATGATGTACTACACCCTCCCGTCCCAAGCCCCCGTTCCTCTTCATGAGACGCAGCGCCACCTTGAAAGACCAGGTCAATTAGGCGGGAACCTCGTTTTGAAAACGGTTACCTTGCATCCGTCTAGCGAAAGTGAGAAAGCGACAAGGCACGATCATACAGTTAAACAAGATGACCATCGATAGGCCCATATTGAAAACAAATACAAAAGGGCAACCCTATCTGTGTAACTTTTTGCGAACGACCTGAAATTCTGGCTATGCGCCTCGAAGGAGTCTCAAGCGAGAGCTCCGGTTTGGAAAGGACCCCCTGTTTCATCCGCGCAGCCGCTATCGAATGGCATTCGTCCCATTTTGCCACTGTGCCTGGGTTGTGGGTATGCATGGTCGTTGGGATCTCGTGGGAGGCCTCGCGGGGGGCTCTTCGAAGCATTTTTGAGGCCTCTTTGGGACCGTTTTGGTGCCTTCGGGGCCTCTTTTGGTTCTCTTGGGTGCCTCTTGGGGCCTCCTGGGGAGCTCTGGGAGCCTCTTGGGGCGGAAGGCTCGGATTGTCGGGTCGTGATTCCCCTCGAGCGGCCCTCTTGGGGGCGTGTTGGGGCCCTCTTGGGCCGTCTTGAGCGCATCTTGGACCGTCTTCTGGCCCTGCTGGGGGCATCTTGGGCCGTCTTGGGGCGATCTTCGGGGCGTCTTGGGCCGTCTTGGAGCGTAGGAACGCCGAAACGACGAGAAGGCTATTATCCTTCGAAAACCTTTGGGGCATGAGTGATTGTTGCCGGGGGCGTCTTGGGGGCCTCTTGAGCCCTTTTGGGCTCATCTTGGGCGTTTTAGAGCGATCTTTGGGCGTCTCGGGGCCCTCTTGGACCGTCTTCGGGGCCTCTTGGAGGTCTCTTTGCCCGTCTTGGAGCTTTCTAGGGCCCGAACAAGTCACGCGACGAGATCCAATTTGGGGTCGGGGCCCTTCAACGACTCCTCAGGATTGAGAACTGAGGCTCTAGGTTTTAGACAATCGACCTGAGGACACGCCACTCCTTGAACCGAGGCACGGTGGTGAAGATGTGTTACAAGTTTTTGGCTCTCCGACTGCAAGAACTCAACAAACGATTGCCTTATTTAAAATAGCTTCCGTACGGGACACCACGGGACATCACGGGACACCACGGGACATTTGTCGATCTCATTATCGTTCTCATTATCGACCTCATTCAACGGGACACCGCGGGACATCTCTCCAATTCATTATCGGTCTCACTATCGATCTCACTATCGATCTCACTTTGAGGGACACCACGGGACACCTCGGGACACCTCTCGATCTCACTATTGGTCTCACTATCGATCTCATCATTGATCTCACCCAACGGGACACCATAGGACACCACTTTACACCACGGGACACCTCGGGGCACCACATCGATCTCAGTACCGACCTCAGTATCGATCTCACTCAAAGGGAGACTACGGGACACCTGTCGATCTCACTACCGATCTCACTTTTAGGGACACCACGGGACACCTCGGGGCGACACATCGATCTCACTATCGATCTCATTATCGATCTCACTCAACGGGACACCATGGGACACTTGTCGATCTCACTATCGATCTCAGTATCGATCTCATTCCCAACCATCCTGTGGTGTTGGGTCCTCGTTTTGAGAAAAAGGTGCCGCGCGTCTTCTCCTCCTCCTTCTCCTCCTCCTCCTCCTCCTCCTCCTCCTGCTCCTCCTCCTCCTCCTCCTCCTCCTCCTCCTCCTCCTCCTCCTCCTCCTCCTCCTCCCTTCTCCTTGCGTTTCACCCACCCAGTACAGCGTTTCGTGGCCCCATGGGGAGCTCCAGCAAAGGCGCCAGTGGCAGGGTTTGCATGGCGGCCTCGGGGCATTTCGGCACACCCCTCACGAGGATCGTGGCACCATAGGGAGCTCCACCGAAGGCCCCCAGCGGCAGGGTTTGCATGGCGGCCTCGGGCCATTTCGGTACACCCCTCACAAGGATCGTGGCTCCATAGGGAGCTCCACCAAAGAAGCCAGTGGCAGGGTTCGCATGGCGGCCTCGGGCCATTTCGGGACACCCCTCACAAGGATCGTGGCCCCATAGGGAGCTCCACCGAAGGCGCCAGCGGCAGGGTTCGCCTGGCGGCCTCTGGCCATTTCGGCACACCCCTCACGAGGATCGTGGCCCCATAGAGAGCTCCACCAAAGGCCTCCAGTGGCAGGGTTCGTACGGCGGCCTCAGGCCATTTCGGCACACCATTCACGAGGATCGTGGCCCCATAGGAAGCTCCACCGAAAGCCCCCAGTGGCAGGGGTCGCATGGCGGCCTCGAGCCATTTCGGCACACCCCTCACGAGGATCGTGGCACCATAGGGAGCTCCACCGAAGGCGCCAGCGGCAGGGTTTGCATGGGCCTCGGGCCATTTCGGTACACCCCTCACAAGGATCGTGGCTCCATAGGGAGCTCCACCAAAGGAGCCAGTGGCAGGGTTCGCATGGCGGCCTCGGGCCATGTCGGCACACCCCTCACGAGGATCGTGGCCCTATGGGGAGCTGCAGCGAAGGCGCCAGTGGCAGGGTTTGTACGGCGGCCTCGGGGCATTTCGGCACACCCGTCACGAGGATCGTGGCACCATGGGGAGCTCCACCGAAGGCGCCAGTGGCAGGGTTCGCATGGCGGCCCCGGGCCCTTGCGGCACACTCATCACGAGGATCGTGGCCCCATAGTTGTGCTGCTTCAACAACCGCGCCTGGGCGTCGTACTCCGCTTTGACGACGTGCAACGCCACCTTCTCCCTCATGGCTCTCAAAGCCCTCTCCTGCTTCTGCTCCTCGGTCGAAGGTACGCCATCCTTGTCGTCGTCGGCGCCCGCGAAGACGGCCGCGAACGTGTTCCTGAGCATGTCGGGCTCCGGCGGGAAGCCGTGGCCACATAGGGAGCGCTGGCGAAGATGGTACTCACACTTGCGGTATTCACAACTGCATATGGTTGGGTCCTTCGTCAGGCTAATTTTTTGGGACTCCACGGGACACCTCGGCGCACCACATCGATCCCAGTTTCGATCTCACCATCGATACCACAATCGATCTCACTATCGATCTCAGTCCACGGGACACCGCCAGCCACCGCCAGACGGACGGACGGACGGGCGGGCACGGGATAATCGTTTGCATTGGCTTCGCCCTCGCAACGGCGGACACCACGGGACACCACGGGACACCGCGGGACACCGCGAGCCACCGCCGGCCGGACGGACGGACGGGCGGTCGGGGGAAAATGATTTGTCTTGACTTCGCCCTAGCAGCGGCGGGCGCCACGGAACACCACGGGGCACCGCGGGACCCCGCGAGCCACCGCAGGACGGGCGGAGAGGTGGATAATCAATTGTCCGGATTTCGCCCCAGCAGCGGCGGACACCACGGGACACCACGGGACACCGCGGGACACCGCGAGCCACCGCTGGACGGGCGGAAGGGGAAAAATCAATTGTTTCGATTTCGCGTCAGCAGCGGCAGACACCACGGGACACCGCGGGACACCGCGGGACGGGCGGGAGGGGGATCATCAATTGCTTCGATTTCGCCTCAGCAGCGGCAGACACCACGGGACACCACGGGACACCGCGGGACACCGCGGGACACCGCGGGCCACCGCCAGACGGGGGTGAGGGGGATAATAATTTGTTTTGTTTTCGCCCCGACAACGGCGGGCTCATTCCTTCCGCCCGCCCACGCAGCGTAGCCCCGCCCGCATGCACGGCACGAGCGAAACGAAACTATTTTCTAGTTCGGGGTCTCCGTTCCGCTGCGATCTCACGCACCAACCTCCGATCACCTTTGTTATCGCTGCAAGCGTTCAAGACGATTGTGTGCGACGCTATGGCGGAAACTTTATTCATATCAACGACCCCTCACCTTGCGACCGACGCTGAGGCGAGAGCTACATCTTGAAATCCCCCACCTTGAATTTTGCCTCCACCCGTGTGCAAATTTGTTGGCGCTTCGGTACAAACCAATTTTCTGTCGGTTCATGAGTGAAGCGCCCTGCTCGCGTTACGGACGCGTCTGGGGGTGCGACACGGGAGGAGGAAGAGGAGGAGGAGGAGCAGGCAAGGGTGGAGGAGGAGGAGGAGCAGGAGGAATAATAGGGAAGTTTGGTTAGCGCACGCGCCGCTACGTGCCGTGAAGGTGCGGCTAAGAGTTTTTTTATCTCTGGGTTTCTTGGTGTAAAAAAAGGTTGCCACATAAAGCTTACATATGCATGGCATGTGTCACGAATCGCCCGGGGACACTGAGG